CAGTGACAGCAGTGATGATGATCTGAATAATTTAAACTATAATGACATGGATGTGAAAATGAAAGCTGAATATCAAGAAGAAATTGAATCTGTGTTACAAAGTACATCTGGTAAGTACAAACATCTAAAACTCATTGACTCTGACTTTAAAGAATTGATTAACTTCTTGGTATTTACCAAAGTTATTGATCCATATGAAAGAGGAAAATTTTGAAGTGTATAGATTTATTATTTTATTAGTTTCTATTTCTACGTAGAAATTTGTGTTGGAAAGGTTTTGAAATGATAGATTAACTTTGTGCTGAAAGTGAATAAGGAAATCAGTAATAAAATCAAACAAAGAAACACTCTAACTGACCAGTGTTTATCTTCCTGGTTCTTTATAAATAAATTTTATAATTAATGGTAGGAACCCGTATCAGTAGAATAATGTTTCAACATGTATAGAGAATGTATTGTTGTCTTTTATTTTTATAGATGTGGTTTGTTGTACTCTACCAGCCCTGTAGAATCTTGGACTTTAATGATCCCAAATCTCCAATCCCTTATTTTTACATACTGAAGACATCAATCAAACAGCTTCTAATCAGAGTGATAATACCTAAACTTGATAAAAGAATAAATAATATACTGATTAATAGTATAGTCTAAATCTTGTCATTTATGAATATTTATTTAACTTGCATATAGAACTTTTGAACAAAATGTATATTTATGTCAACGAAGTTGTAGACTCAAGTCCTATGATTTGGACAAAATGACTTGTTTTGAAATTTGCTACTAAAAATCTGTTAAATGTAGAATATTACCTACAGTTTGTTTAAAATGCTATTCTGATTCAGATAGAAAAAGCTTCTATAAAGTGTAAAACTGTGAAATTAATTAATTATTAAATTTAACATTTTCATATTGGCATTTGTATTGATCATATTAGAACACAAAATATGCTTAGAAGTTCATTGGATATATTATTAACTATAATAAGGCATCATTTATATCTGTTTTAGAGACAAAGACCAGTGTGAACATGTGTCGTGAGAGTCAGAGTCCTGGTTATCATGTTATAAAGAAAGAAGATCACTATACAGAAGTTATAAAATCCTCAAAACCAAACAGAGGTATATGTGGAGAAACAACTTTAAATGGAGAAAACCTAAAGGAATTTAATATACCTCAGTGTAATGGTAAAACATACAGTTGTGTAGCCAGTGGAGAAAAATTTGGAACAATGGATAACCTAACACAAGAAAAGAGGATACAATCTGGAGAGAAACCATATCATTGTGCAGTTTATAGAAAAAACTTTAAGAGAAATAGTCCCTTAGAACAACATAAAAGAAATCAAACTGGGGAGAAACTTTACAGTTGTACAGTTTGTGGAAAACACCTTGGATCAAGCAGTTACTTAAGAATACATCAAAGAATACACACTGGGGAGAAACCTTATGATTGTGAAATTTGTGGAAAACAATTTCGAAAAATGGGTAACTTAAAAAGCCATGAAAAAGTACATAGTGGTGAGAAACCATACAGTTGTTCAGTGTGTGGAAAACACTTTGTTAGAAAGAATAACTTAATATCACATCTAAGAATACATACTGGGGAGAAACCATACAGTTGTGCAGTTTGTGGAAAACATTTTGTAGAATGTAAGAACTTAAAAATACATCAAAGAATACACACCGGGGAGAAACCTTACAGCTGTACAGTTTGTGAAAAACAATTTAAAACATATGGTGAATTAAAACAACATCTAATAACACACACTGGGGAGAAACCTTACAGTTGTGATATTTGTGAAAAACAATTTGGAAGAAGGTCTTACTTAAAACAACATGAAAGAACACACACTGGGGAGAAACCTTACAGTTGTGCAGTGTGTGGAAAACACTTTAGGACAAAGGATTATCTAAATAAACATAAGAAAAGATACACTATGGAGAAACCATACAGTTGTGAAGTTTGTGGAAAACACTTTGCATCAAAGGATGGATTAAAACAACATCAGAGAACACACACTGGGGAGAAACCTTACAGTTGTGCAGTTTGTGGAAGACTCTTTACAGCAAAGGATGGATTAAAGCGACATCAAACAACACACACTGGGGAGAAACCTTACAGTTGTGCAGTTTGTGGAAAACACTTTGCATCAAAGGATGGATTAAAACAACATCAAAGAATACACACTAGGGAGAAATATTACAGTTGTGGAGTTTGTAGGAAACGGTTTGTTACAAGCAGTTACTTAAAAATTCATCAAAGAATACACAATGGGGAATAACCTTATAATTGTCAGTTTCTGGAAAACACTGGATCATAAGGGTGAATAAAAATATCTAAAAAAACACACTGGGAAAAAACATTACAGTTGTACAGTGTGTGGAAAACAATTTTTATGGAACTGTAGGTTAAAAGTACATCAGAGAATACACACTGGAGAGAAAAGTTACATGTGTATAGCCTCCATACCTCAATAGTTAAATTGTTATGTCTACAATAGTAAAAATTTGGTTTTTATTCCAGTAGTATTATGTAGCTTTTTAACATATAACGTTAAAGGACAACAAGATACTTTATGGTCCATCTTGCTGTCCTGTTCAATAAATTAAACTAAACGCTAAAACAAAAACTACAAGCCAGCCCCCTCTCATTAAAATATTGATCAAGCTTTTCCTTAAACTCTTTGAAAGCAACTGGTTTGACCACAAATAAAAACAATCTGTCCCAAAGCACAACTACACTTTTAGAGAAGTAATGGTTTCCTGGTATTCTCACCATTAAATATGAAAAAGGATGATGCATCAACTGTATCAATTTCCATGACAATCTTAAACATCTTATTCGGGTCTCTTCTAATTCTTCTTCTTACAAGAGGAAATATGTTTGAAGATTTGAACCTATCCTTAAATGATAAAATCTCTATCCCAGATATCATCCTAGTAGACCTTCTCTGAACTCTTTCCAACAATTCATTATCATTTCTTGGGAAATAAAAATACATCAGTGAAATCAAACAAGGCCAATCCCTTACAGTCATATAATTTGTGGAATACAACTTGGATCAAATAGTTAATTAAAAATACATCAAGGAAGACATACTGGTGAAAAGTCTTATTATTTAACGACAAAGAACCCTTGTTTCAAAAATACAGTTTGGGGATGGCTTTAATGGGTGTGAAAGAAACTTTACTGCAAATGTACAATGTTTCAACAATTAACTTTTGTCATCATCAGGTACAAGTAAGACAGTCAGTCCAACATAACCATTTTCAGAAGTATTACAAGTATTTGACTCGCGTCTCAAGTAGAGTTATATAACAGGTGACTGGAAACAAATAACCTCAAGGAGCAAAGAATGTTTGAGTTTCTAAACTAAGAAACCCAGTGTATCATACAAGACAAATGAATTAATTATCAATGGTCGGTGTATTAAAATGAACAAATTCAGTGAAGTGAGGATAAGTGGCAGGAGAAACTACAACTCTTACCGAGGCGAAAATGAAACTTCATTTAAAAACAAATAAACTACAAGAATGAGAACCATGAATGAAGGAGAGTTTGTTACTTATGACCAAAATATTGTACAATTACAACATAATGAATTTACTTGCTTTCATCATTAAATAAAGCTGACTTTAAACGTATTTTAAGAAAGTATAGGAAAATATCAAAAAAATTCTTTGAACAATTTTATATCGCAATCAGAAGGTTTTTACTTATTTAAAATTCTATCTACTTCATGTATTGTACTTATCAGGAACTAATTTCAAGGTTTTCAATTCATATGATAAAGTCATGCATAAGTTGTAACATATTAATAAATTCTCTCTTCCTCATATACAAACATTAAAAATCCTAATCCTCAACAACTGATTAATTCACAGAATAAGCTTAATGCTTTAAAATCCTCAGATAGCAAGTGGAGATACCAGTTGAACCAAGAAATTGCTCAGTCTTCACCTCCCTATGATGCAAATAGAAGTACCACTTTTAATTCCAAGCAAAGCTCTTGCAAGCTTTAATCTCGTTACATCTCCAGCTCCCAAAATAATAAGCTTAAGTTACAAACCTTACTACTAAGTTGTTTTTAGCCTTTTAAATGTGTCGTAAGCATGGTTAGGAATACTTGATTTAGTTTGTTCTTCATTTACAAACATTTAACTTTATATAGAAATTTCATAGATAAGAAAGAATATTTTCATATTTATTGATAATTATGACAAACCAAACTTTTCAGAGATAATTATTTTATGGATATTTCATAATGAATTCTTGGTATCGTAGTTAAGGTTTGTAATTTGATTAATTGCCTCTAGATGAAAACTACTATTCAGTGGTGTAAAGATTTATTTCGGAACTTAAACATCAATTTTATTTCGTATTGTGTTTTGAACATTTTCTTTCAAGAAATGTACAAATGTATCTACACATAAAGTGGAAAGTTTGTGATGCATGTTATGTGCCTCTACTGATAACGTTATGTTATTTTATCCCAGAAAATAAAAATAAGCTACTGTTATAGAAACGTAGAATAATGGGACAATTGAGTATTAAGTGTTTTAATACTGCATTAACTTTATCTTGTTTGAAGATTATTCAGGTTATTTTATCCTGCGTCTTGTAATTGTACATACATTTGAAAATAGTGATAAAGTTTTTATACATTTTAACCCCTTAAGAACTTTTGTATTAGTGTAACAATGTTATTGGAAATTAAAAATATTTGTAATTATAAAATGTGTCAGGGTGAAGACTGATATCATTTATTTAGTTTTTTCTCATAATTAAGTTAAATGAAAAATTCTTAAAAGTGACTTAGGTTTTTTATATATACATTATATGACATT